AAGGAAGTAAGGCTATAGCAATGTAAGTTGTTCAATGGTAACAAATGTACCCTCTAGTGTAGAACATTGAGAATGTGTTTGTGGGATTGGGGGGAGGGTGGTATGTGGAAAATTTTTGTATCTTTCACTCTAGTTTTCTGACCTTACTACTTCTCTGATAGACTATTTTTAAAAGTATGGTCATGATGGTTAATTTTATGCTATGCGCATTTTTTTAAACCACAATTTCAAACACAGTTTCTTTCTTCCTCTCTCTCTAATCTCACTGACTATAACACAGATAATTTAGAGTATAATGTTTTTAACTAAGCTTCAGAGTCACACTTTTATTTTCCAAATGTAACCATTTATTTATTTATTATTTTGGTTTTTAGCATTAGCTAATGAACAGAAAAACACTAATTCCAAAGGAAACCTGCACTTCTACATTTATTGCAGCTCTATTTACAAAAGCCATGGCATGCAAATAGCATTGTTTAAAAGCCTACACTATGTTCAGAGAGGTTCTGACTGGAGAAATACAGACTTGAGAGTTAAAAGTGGGGCTCTTCTATCATGGGATTGGATGAAATCTCCAGAGATCATGTGCAAATAAAGCAGAAGATGCTGAGGAGGGATCAAGAGGCACACAGGGAAAATCATCAGCCAAGGAGAAGGAAAAGTAAAATAATATGAAGGCAGAAGAGAGCATTGTAAGACTATATGCTTAAGTCAAAACCACAACGAGATACAACTTTACTCATTTGGATGGCTATTATTTAAAAAGTGAAAAATAGCAAGTGTTGACGAAGATGTAGAGAAATGCATTAGTAATGGGAATGTAAAAAGGTACAGCTGCTGTAGAAAACAAACAGTTTGGGGTTTTCTCAGTAAGTTAAAATAGGATCTACCATCTGATCCAACAATTATACTGCTAGGTATATAGTCGAAAGAATTGAAAGCAGGACTCAAACAGAATTTATACCTGTATTTATGCAGTACTTTTCACAGTACCAAAGATGGAAACAACCTAAATGTCTATCCATAGATGAATGGTTATGGAAACTGTGATGTAGTAATACAACGGAATCTTTAATAAATGGAGTAAAGTGCTGACATATAAAATGGTATGGATGAATCTTGAAAACATTATGCTAAGTGAAATAAATCTATCACAAGAAGGCAACTATTTTAAGATTCCACTTACATAAAGTCCCTAAAAGAGGCAAACTCTTATAAAAGAGACAGAACTATCATAGACATTGTCAGGGCCTGGAGGATGGAGAGAATGGGAAGTTACTGTTTAATGTATATTTAGTTTCAGTTGGGGAAGATGAAAAAGTTCTGAAGCTGAATGGTGCTGGTGATTGTGCAGCAACTTAAATGTCCTTAATGCCACTGAACTGTGCACTTTAAATGGTAACTTTTATGTTATGTATATTCTACTAAAATAAAGAAAAAATAAATGTATTAAAGAAGCCAGACACAAAAGAGTTCACACTGTATATAAAGTGAAGTTCAAAATAGGCAAGTAGTGAGTGGTAAAATCAGCAGCAGCTACCTTTACGAGTGTAGAAAGGAAATTGGAAGAGAAGAAAATCAAAGTGTACATTTCAAGGATTTTGATAGGGGACAAATAGGGTAATATGGAAAGCCATAAAAGAAGCCTTTTTTAGGGAAAGGAAAATTAAGTGTATTTTTAGCTTGAGGAACAGATGGGAAGGGAAGGATGACAACACAAGAGCGGGAAGAAGCAGATGATATCCGGAGGTGAGGAAGAGGGAGGGAGGGTAGGGGTCACCCTTGGAAAGATATAGGACACCTCCTCCAGGATGTGCAAGACGAGGTGAGGATCTGCTAAGTAAGGACAAAGAAGGGAAGCATATTAAAGCATTCAGAGTACAGTGGGCTGGATTTCACTATTTTGGACTGACTCCCTTAACCTATTCAATGTCACAACATCCCTACAAATCCTAACTATTTGAACCCCTCTAAAACTGAGCCCTGCTCCATTAACCACACCTTTAAAAATATTCTGCTGAATATGTCTGTATTTTATTAGAAGACCTCTAACATTTATTCAAGGCATAATATTTTCTTTTACAATAAATAAGTTGAAAATATAAGTATTTTTAATTTACTCTATGTCCTGAATTTAATAAATGCTGCTGTGAAAGATGCATATGTATACAAAATCATGCAGGAAGTAGGGAGCTATCTGCCCTTTACACAAAAATTTCTCTACTTTTTTAAGTGAATATGTTCTTTTCATTCCACAAAGAAAACTGATTTCAAACATAGATAGTTAAATTCAATATATACCCATGCACTTAATGTATGGGTTGTACTAGATGAATAACTGGGACAAATTTCTTCCTACTGAGAACATTGAAGACTTCAATACAGTGTAGCAGCCAATGAGAAGATTCTGGCACAACTCTAGGATGTACAGTCTAACTTAGAAGTAGAGGCCTCTTGAAGAGGAGGAATACTGCAGAAGGAGCCTGGTGAGAAAACTACTTCATAAAAAGCATACAGAAAAAGCCCTCTTTGAAGAGTACACACAGGCGATTCAAAAGGCAGAATGCAAATGGTTAAAAAATTAAGGCTAACAGGAAAGCTTCATTACACTCAAAGAATGAAAATGAAAATAACACTCAGGTGCCATTTTATCAATTAACAAGATTTGTAAAATTAATACTTAAGACATGTAAAAATAATACTTAAGGGTAAAGGGCTATGGGGATGCTCATAGACTGCTTGTAGGAGTATAAACTGGCTTTTTTTTTCTTTCAAAAAGCAATAGGAAAATGCATATGAAAAGTTTTACCAGTTGCTTCAAATGACCACAGCTTTTAAATCAATAATTATAGTTCAGAATGTCATCCTTTATTAAGTTCACAAATGTAGATAAAAGCTTTTTCACACAAAGATATTCATTGCAGTGCAATTTATGAAGAAATTTGGAAACCTGAACATCTAACAATGAGGATTTTAAAGATGATATTGTAAATTTTAGAGGTGTTTAAAATGTTTATAAAGAATTTTAACAATATAAGGAAATGTAACGTAAGTGACAATTGGCAAATAGCAAATTTTAAAGTGGTTAATTTTTTTTTAAGATTTATTTATTTGTGCATACAGAACTGGGGTATAGGCCAGAGGCTAAGGGGCGGTGAGACGCTTCACCAGAGACAGAGTGGGGAACAGAAGAGGCAGATCGACGAAGTACACTGCTGAGGGGAGCAGCGAACGGGCCAGGAGAGGTCTGCCACGCCATGTGGTCACCTCCGGGGCAGGGGGGAATCGAACTCATGCCGAAGTGGCTTTAGATTCTCAGTGCTGTGCTTTAACCCGCTGCGCCACCAGGGAGGGTCATGGTTAATTAATTTTAATTGAACTTTAAGTTGCAGAATCATAAATAATTTTCTTTCCTTCTTTATACTTTCTATTTCCCACAATGAATGGGTATCATTTAAAAAATCTGAATGCAAATTTATGTCTTATTAAAGGGAGAGAAAGTACCTTTTGAACATTTTTTAAAGATATACTTATGCATGCAAGAACTGGGGTGCAGGCCAGAGGTACATGGAGGTGAGAGGATTCACCAGAGACAGAATGAGAAGCTAAATAGGCAAATTGACTGACGCACATGGCTGAGAGGAGGAGCAAGAGAGAAGGGTGATGTCTGATGTACCATGTTGGCCAGTTCCCGTGACAGGGATGGAACTCATGCTGCAGTAGCTTTGGACAGCTCATACTCCTGGAGCCACCAGGGAGGCCCCCTTTGAACATTTTTGATAATCATATGCTCAGTACACTGTACCCTGGTAACGTTGGCAAAGACATACAGCTGTAGTCAAATGTTCATTCAGGAATATTTATTAAGTACTTACTAAATACCAAGTCCTTGATATGTATTGTGGATACAACGGTAGAGAAGATACTTGAGCACTGACTGAACTTCTGTAAGTTTATAATATAGTGGAAGTTAGAGTGTATTAATTTACTAGGGCTGCCATAACAAAGTGGCACAGACTAGATGGCTTTAAAAACCAGAATTTTATTTTCTCGTAATTATATGATCTAGAAGTCGAGATGCAACATGGCTGGTTTCTTCCAAAGACCCTCTTTTTGGCTTCTAGACAGCTATTTTCCTTCCATGTCATCACATCATTAGAATTGAGTATGTCTGTGTTCAAATTTCTTCTTTTCTTATTTTATACATTTTTATATCATTCTTCATTTATTTTTTTTTTTTTGCTTTCTCATCTTGGTTATAGTACCTGTGAAATTCCCACCACCAATTCACCCGTGCACCATCACCATAGTCCCTTGTGCTCTTCTTACTCCTGTTTTGATTATACTCCTCTATCCCTCCCTGCAGAATGGCTCAAACTGCTGAAAATGGAGCTTTCCATATGATCCAGCAATCCCACTCCGAGGTATCTACCCAAAGGACACAAAAATATCAATTCAAAAGGACACTTGCACCCTATGTTTATTGCAGCACTACTTACAATAAGTATGCTATGGTATTAAATTTCCTCTTTTATAAGGATGCCAGTCACATCAAATAATGACATCATTTGTACTTTATTACCTCTTGAAAGTTTTTAATCTCTAATACAGTGATGTTCTGAAGGGGCACATGTACAAGGAGCTAGAACTTCAACATATGAGTTTGGCACAACTTAGTTCATAACATAGAGGAAACAATTGTTCAGGAAGGACAGGAAAAGTTGAGATCAAAAGCTAAATATTATCATTGTCCTCCAAATACTATTGGTCATTTCTTGGGAATGGTGTTATATTTGTTTTTTAGTCTTCTTTTTCTTAATCGTGTCTTCTAGTGTGTGTATAGCTTTAGCATTTAACAGATTAATAGGAATGAAACACATTTTCATTTACTTGTGATGGAATGCAATTGACATTTTAAATTTATCTTCTTTTTAGAGAGTCAGAAAATGAATATTTATTCTTCGATGCCTGATATTACAAAATCATTCATTATATTTCAGAGAACAGATTGGCTTATGAGTTGATACCTGCTGAGTTCCCAGATGAACATATGTCATGATTATGAGGAAAACTCCATCTGATTCTAACTCTCCAGAGCTGTAAATAAACAGAGGTAAGGGGAATAAGCTCCGTCTAGGCTAACAACTTCTTTAAGATTTGTTTTCAGTATTTTTAAACTTCAGATGAATATTTCCTTATAGCAATCCTATTAGAATCTTCCTCGATAAGGCACTATCCACTTCCTATAAACTATATGTCTTTTGGTCTCAAATCCTTCATGGCATGTGATGGACTTTAAGTAAGTTCATTATATTTACTTAAAATATAATAAAAATAAAACAAATTTATGAGGCTAGATAGAACAGGAAAACATTTGTTGTATACATTCACATATACAACTCACAATCCCTTCATACAAAGAACAGGGAGGATTTTGCAATATCATTTGAAAAACAGTAGAAGTGTGATGTTGCTTAGTGCCTGAGGCCCTGGGCTCTAGTAGTAGAGGTACTACTTTCTATTTCTAGATCGTGAAGATGACATGAGCAAACTCCTTGTTACCCTTACAATAGTGGCTGGTGCATAGTGCTGTGTTCAGTATGTGAACACTGTGGTTAGACTTTGATCTCTCACCCCTGTCCTACAATGTGTTCAGACTTAAGTCTAGTTGGTTACCCAAGATCTGATTCAGAGTCAACAGTAACTGCCCTATGACAATTCTGAATACATCTATTGGTAACATTTTAATAAGCTAAGTACTTGACCCCTTAACTTTTTGAAGTTCAGCCTTTGGCTAGCTGATACTACATTCCAGTAGATATCCTTCATATCACTAGCAAAATTAAAATTTGTAACAACATTGGAAGTAAATTTCTTGATATTATTCCATGAACTTGTAAGTACTATGCATTCCCCTGATTCCTCCAAGGCACTTACAGTCCAGTCACTCTCACTGCCTGCTTCCTCTTTCTCGTGGGAAGCGTATGAGATCTGCTTTGTTCCCATCTTCATGGCTGTGTTGTTAATTTTTCCAGTTAGCTAGTCTCTTGATCCTATTCACTGATATCCCTCCTTGACTTCCAAATTGAATCCCAAACCCTGAGATCGTATTACTTTTATTCCTCTGCCTGGCCCCTGGTTAATAATTACATATAATTTACATTTTGTTAATTTGCCTGTATGAATAATTGCCTGAAAAATGTGTTTTTTTAAAATTTATGAACTTTGTCTCCCTGTTAGACTATAAGACCTTTGACAACAAAGCATCTGTCCTTGAGTTCTTTCGTAGTTTGTTCTAATGTTTTATCATATACACTAAATATTGCTTTTTGCTTAAGTCTTTTTATTACAATTTTTCCTTAATCTTGGTTATTGTTCACTACCCATAATCCAGCCTCCTTCATGCCTGGTCTCCTTATAATTAATGCATACAAGTAATGCACATAATTCCCTATCCTTTTATCCTCAAGTATCTTCTGATACCTGTTTTACTTTTCTCTATCTGCCAATCTGTTTAACTGTCATACCAGTGAAATTAAAGAGTTAGAATAATTCTCAGCATTTACAAAGAGAGAAAGTAGGCTAAGTGCTCCATTCCAGGTGGAAACAAGCTTTTTTTCTTTGTAGCCACCCTAGTATCCTCCCCCCTCCCACCACTATCAAATGAGTAATGTGTGGATATAACAACAAAAAGATCGGCACAGTTTTCTTTATCACATTTTCTCCTGTACTGTTCCCCTCTCTTTCCTCTTTCAAATATGCTCATTCTCCCTGTCTTTTTTTTCCTCAACTTTAAGATGATTTCTTATTAGTTTTAATAATCTCTAACTCTTAGCATAGACCTAGAACATAGTAAATGCTTAATATGAGTGTATTGAATAAATGAAATATCGAGCAAAGCTTTGTTCATGAAAGTAGGAGTGCTTATACTAGGCTCCTTTGTTTTCCAAAATCTTGGCTTTGCTTCTCTTTAAAGTATGAACCCTGGAGCTAGAATGGTGTGATTAATACCCAAGATCAGACTCTTATTAGCCATAGAGAAAGAACCAATTATCTCTCCAAAGCTAGTTTTTTCATATATAAAACCTCAGAGTTGTCAGGATTTTAATACTTAGACCTGTACTCAGTTTATAGTAAACAACTCAAGAAATTTAGCCATTATTTATTAAAATTTTAAAATGCATTTACTTATACAAGGAGACAAGGAAAATAATTGCCACATTGTCACCACCTGCATCTATCAGTTACTTAGGACTTGACTAAATTTTCTAAAAGCCATAGGTAATTCCTCTGTGAGCCTTGGACCTAGTTTTGGGGGCTGGGACAGAGAGCTTCTATCCACCTAGGTAACTGGTAATGTGAATATTACCTATTCATAATTAAATTTTTGAGTTAAAATTTTTACCCATTTAACCATTTTTAAGTGTATAGGTCAGTGATAGTAAAAAAAATTCACATTTTGCTGTAAGCATCACTTCTGCCCATCTTCAAGACTCTTCATCCTTCAAAACAGAAATTCTGCACCCATAAGCAACCTCATTCTTTTCTCACCCAAGACCCTGGCAACCACCATTCTACTTCCTGTCTCTATGGATTTGACTACACTGGGTCCCTTATTGTATAAGTAGAAAGGGAGTATTTGTCTTTCTGTGACTGGTTTATTTCACTTGGAATAATGTCCTTGAAGTTGATAAATGTTGTAGCATGTGTCAGAATTTCATTCCTTTTTAAAAGCATTCTATTGTTAGGTGGTTAGATGATTTTCCCTTTTTTAGCAACACTTCAAATGAAAGTCAAGTTCTGTCTTCAAATGTCCCAAAATTATTTGAGGCATGAAATACAAATGGGAGATTGCAAAATATATATAAGCCTAGTGCTCCAGAAATTTTACTACAAGTATGTTTTCCTACCTTGATCAGAAATACATATTTTAATATGCATTGAAGATTCATTTAGGAGCAAAAGAGAAGAGTTGTTCAAGTGTGTGGCATTGTTGTTGTGCTCTGGCTATGATTGCCACATCTCTGTCAATGTCTTCACTGACCATAAAAGGATAAAAGTATGCATTTCCTTGATAATAATGAGAATGAGTTGGCAAGTAATCTCTGAGCTTTGGGATGGGCAGAAAGGTGAAATGGAAGATGTTTTAACCTGCCAAGACTTGAGTTAAAGTCCTTAAAACTGTTTCTTTTCAAACAATTGCTAACATGATTAAATTGCAAAACTTAGTAAGAAAGTTTCTGGCATGTATTTTATTTCAGACAGCAAGTTATTAATGAGAAATCAGTGAGACCTCAGGAATGTGAAGAGCAAAATTACACATTATAATATTGGTAGTTTAAAATATATTTTTCATATGAATGAGGTTTTGGTAACAAGCCTAGAAACTTCATGGGGTATTGATGTTCCTTTTTTCTCAAAGGGAAAGAAATCTCAAATTGTATTTTATTTTATTACCCCAAGTGGAAGAAACATTTTTGCACTCATTATTTATACCCTGCCTCGTACAAACATTATTTGAGGCAATTGAGGGAATATTAAAAAATGTAATTTAAGTAATTTAGATATAAATTCTGCAGCTTATCTTTCATTAAATAGGCACCTTCTTGTTCTCTGGAACGATGAACAGAAATCGTAATGAAGAATGTAAACGCTTATGATGTGGGGAAGTAATTTGGTTGCTTCTTGGATGTGGTTGTGTTTTGTCTACCTGGAATTTGGTCAGTTCAGCTTTCTCTTGTAGTTAGGGGTTTCCTGGCATGTAAGTAAAGTAGCCATATGTTTGAGGTTTTCTGGAACAACTCCAGTTAAAGAATTCTTTCCTGTTGTTAGACCATGTGTCAGACCATGTGTCCTGTTTTTTTTTTTTTTTTTTTTTTTATGGAAAATGTGATCATCTTACCTGTATTCAGTATTTCCCTTCAAGGTACACAGAGGCCTCAGTCTCTGGGTTGGGCTCTATATTCATTCTGCCCATTCTATCAGATTTTACCTGACACTTCTGCATGACTGTGCATTCAGCCTGCCTTCTCCAATCATCCTAAGAAACCTTCATTCTCCCATATATTCCATCTAAATGTTATACTCTACCTAATATTTGATGGGATGTGATCTCATAGTGTTGTTATATGTGACTGAGTTCCCGCCACTAAATTGTATAGCCTGGGGGAAAGAAACACCACAATATCACCTGAATTTCTTTCATAACCTCCGTGATGCCTCATTCAGTGCTGGGCATACAGCAGTTAAAAAAAGAAAGGTTTGTTGAGTCTTTTGTGTAATTCAGGGCAGAAAACCCTTTGAAAAGGTCTCTACTTGAAATCTACAATGAACCTAAATATATTAGACTATCAGTTAAATCCTCACAAAATTCTTTGCAGAATTCAAATGTAGATTTTCAGCACCAGACTTCTGTTCTAAGGTATTTGATATACCTATTTCTCCAATAGCAAATATATACATAAGCTATATAATGTAAAGTATATATAAGGGGGAAAGGACTTAAAACCCAGTACTTGGATTTTCACATATATGCTAAGTGCAAAGGAAGGTCTACGATTGTTACATTGTCCAAAACAGCAGATAGAGAATTCCATTATTTCATTTCCTATTTAGACCTTCTTCTCTTTCTGTCGCCTCACTATGAGTGTCCTCCCAAGCCTTTATACACAGCTCTCTAAATACTGTCTTCATGAAAGTTGTTGACAAGGAGACACTATTGCCTCTAGGTGATACTATCAAATATATGCAAAGCAGCTTTTACCTGAATTTGAGCTAGTGATTCACAAGCAGGCAGGGTTTGTGAGATGTGGGGTCAAAATTAGGAAGTGGAAAGTTTGGCAAAACTAGGACAGCATTAGGAGTCAAGAGCCTTTCAAAAAACTTGTAATAGATGAGATGTAGTGGGTTGGGGTGGGGTTTGTGCATGTGTTTCATTGAAGGGTCCCCATGATTCTGATTCCAGGGAAGTTCAGTGCCAGACTCCTTAGACCAGTTCCTTATGGCACATCTTTACAGCCTCATGTCAACTTGCTGTCCAGCACCCACTTTCTCTCTCCAGTTGCCCG